AGGGTTGTCAGCCTCCAGGTGGTGCCTGGAGATCCCCTGGAATTACTCCAGACTTCAGAAATCTCCCCTGGAGAGTTAGCAGAGTTTAAATATGCAAAGGAAGTGTAGTACTGACTGTTTAGAGAAAAATAAGTAGGTTTATTATAGAAGAACAAACTGTTGTAGAACATACCGAGAGAAAGCCTAAACGACCCAGTGTCTGCTGTAAAAGGAACAAAGAACAAGAGGAACCTTTACAGAAGAAGGAAGTCTTCAGCAGAGCCAATTAGGAGACAGGAAGGACACAATTTGAAATTGTGGGCAGTCCCTAATCTAGTTATTGTTCTCTCTGTCCAGACTAGTGTTGCCCAGTCTCCAGGTGGGGCCTGGAGATCTCCCAGAACTACAAGTGACCTCCGGACTAGAGAGGTCAGATCCCTTGGAGAAAATGGCAGCTCTGGAGGGTGTGTTCTGTGTCATAACATCTCTCCTGAGCTCCTACTTTCCCAAACTCTGCCCAACCCTCAAATCTCCAGGAATTTCCCAAACCCAGAGTTGGCAACCCTACAGGTTAGGTGATGCTGATGTGCAAATGGTCTTACCCAGTCTTGAATTCCTCCACCAGCTGCTGAATGGAAGCTTCTTCACTGGTTAGATGGTCTCTTTCACTTAATAAGCAGTCAAGCTGCTTTTTCATGTTGCTGATGAAATTCTCATAGTATGGTTCAAGGTTCTTCCTCGCTGGCAGGGCACACTCTTGTAAAAGTCTCCACTTGGTGTCAAGAACTTTGTTCTGCTGCTCCAGGTATCGGACCTGATTTTTAAAGAAATTATGATATAACAGGAATTTTAATAAGAAAATAGAGTCAAGAAGAAGAGATTGGATTTATACCCCGCCCTTCACTACCCAAGGGAGTCTCAGAGCGGCTTACAAACTCCTTTCCCTTCCCCTCCCCACAACAGACACCCTGTGAGGTGGGTGGGGCTGAGAGAGAAACTGCTCTTTTTCAAGGACAGCTGTGCCAGAACTATGGCTTGCCCAAGGTCATCCAGCAGGTGCAAGTGGAGGAGTGGGGAATCAAACCCAGTTCTCCCAGATTAGAGTCTGCGCACTTAACCACTATACCAAACTGGCTTTCAAAACAGACATTTTAAATATTTTGCTTGTTTTTCAGTCTGATGTGCATCTCTGCAAGGAGTGGACATCACACTGAGCCACATTATGCCTCGTCAAACACACTACTACTGCATTTCTAAGAAGGAAAAGTGTTCTTAGAGTCAAAAGAGCAAGACACCTAGAATCAGCAGGTGAATATTAAAACCTAGCACAGTGTCATAATGAATTTTTGTTTTGAGGTTAATTTATTAATTTAGCAGAAATTATTATTAAGATGTGCATGCAAATTTCTTCTGTGCATTGTATGGGAGGAGAGGGTCCCCATTAATTTCACAGGGAATAATTTATACATGCTGAAATTAATGGGAAAATGGTATCAGGCAGGGAAGATCCATATATAGAGTGGAATTTCCTATAATCAGAATTGTCTATTACACCAGGGCACCTGGGTGTGCCCATATCTGTTCTACAATGAATCTACACACACCATGTTGAGACTGCATATCAGATTTTGTGTATGCAGTGACTCTGCTTTTGCAGCAAGATGAGCGCTTACTTGTTCTTCATATGTGGCAGTATACACATTTGAATAATTTTTCTACACAGTGATGACTGACATGTGGGAAGCAGCTCTGGGAAACATAGCTTTATGAATTAAGTGAGCAAAGAAACTGCTCTAGTCAAAATCCTAGTTTAATCAATTGGGCTTGCTGCCAGAAAAGTGTTCTTAGGATTGCACTGCCAATCAAATAACCATCTAGCAAAGGACCAAGGTGATGCATTCTTTATGAGTACAATCGGATCTGAACTGAATCTGCAATAAATACAAATGATAACAAGATCCAAGTCATACAGCAAAGATCTCTACTAAACAAAACAATGCAGTGGGGCTACAGCTGAACAACTGGAAAAGAATGCATACCAACATGAAAAACTTTGAAGGGGGAAAAAAGTTAGTGTAGGCTAGGGTTTCCAGCCTCCAGGTGGGGCCTGGGGATCTCCCCGCTCGTACAGCTGATCTCCAGCTGACAGAGATCAGCTCCCCTGGAGAAAATGGCTGCTTTGAAGAGTGGACTCTATGACATTGCACCAGGCTGAGGCCCCTCCCCAAACCCCACCCTCTCCAGGATCCACCCCCAAAATCTCCAGGTATTTTCCAACCCAGACCTGGCAACCCTAGGGTAGGCAGAGAACTGTCTAAGACAACAGAACTCTCTAAGCTCTGACGTACCATACAGAAGAAAGGCTTACAAAGGCAGAAGACATTGAATTGAATTAGCTGCCTTGGTGGCCCTTGTGCGAGAAAAAAAGGAGATATAACTTTTGTAAAACAAAAATAGAATAAATGGCTGTATAAAGAGGGGGAATACATAACAATGAACTTTGCAATATACAACAGATACTATCCCTTATGTAAACAGCCTCTGGAACTGATCCATTATACTACAGTTCCTTTTTTCCCCTCAAAACAATTTATTAGTATTTTCCAACCCAGACCTGGCAACCCTAGGGTAGGCAGAGAACTGTCTAAGACAACAGAACTCTCTAAGCTCTGACGTACCATACAGAAGAAAGGCTTACAAAGGCAGAAGACATTGAATTGAATTAGCTGCCTTGGTGGCCCTTGTGCGAGAAAAAACGGAGATATAACTTTTGTAAAACAAAAATAGAATAAATGGCTGTATAAAGAGGGGGAATACATAACAATGAACTTTGCAATATACAGCAGATACTATCCCTTATGTAAACAACCTCCTGAGCTGACCCATTACACTACAGTTCTGATCCCTTTCTAAGAATGCCCTTCTGAACATTTCTGGAGAGCGATCCTAAGCAGAGCTGCTCAGAATCCGACTCAGGCCTGTTCAATGGGGCTCACTCCCAGAAAAGTGTTCTTAGGACTGCACTGCAGATGTTGCATTGGGAATACCTCTTTGTTCCTCAACTCACCCCTCTCCAATTTAACAATACCCAAAATGTAATATATTTGACAGCACTATATATTAAAATATTTGCAAGCAAATCTCAACTATAACATCTGTGCATAATCCATGTGCAAAAAAGAATAACGCAAAGCAAATCCGCATGGCTTGGTTGTATATTGATTTTGTGGTGCCAGTGGTGGCATCAGGATTTGTATTAGAAACATGTGGCTTTTGTGGTAGTCCCGGCCCTTTTTTTGTTTGCTTGTTTCATTTCAAACGAAGCAGAATCTTAGAACTCTTTGCTTGCTCACCTTATCAATGAAGCAGGCAAACTGGTCATTCAGGGTCTTCATCTCTTCCCTCTCGTGGTTCCGTGCTTCCTGCTCCTGTGGGTCAACTCCCACATGGAGGGGCTTCAGGAGCTTCTCGTTGATGGTGACTCCTCGGATGCCGTCACCTCTGAAGTTGGAATATCCTCCGCCAAGCCCTCCATTTCCGATATGACCCATCCTGCCACCAAAACCCATAGTACCATAACCCATATGACCATAACCATAAGCACCGTAGGCACTATAACATCCAGAACCGGAACCGCCATAGCCACCGTAAGAAATTCTTCCGCTTCCACCCAGATTGGAAAGACTTTGGCTGCCGAAGCAACGGACCCCGTATTCGTTTCCGATAGGATGGCCTACAGAGGCCACGTAGGTTCTGTGCCCACCTAGTCCACCCATGGCAGATGCAGAACTGAATCCCCTTCCTCCAAAGAAGGACATCCCAGCGGATATCTGTTGTGCCATTGTGACCTGCCCAGCGTCAAAATAGGTGGTTCCAAGGAGGCAGGTGCGGCAGAAACAAAGGAGAGAGCAGCCCTCTGGCAGGAGACCTCAGAGTCAACGTTTATATACCGTTGATGAGCTGAGCTTGATTGGTTTACAGTTTTAATTTAGAGTTTTCCCCGGGTTTGGCCTACCTCAGGGCAATTACAAATGCTTTTCAATCTGCAAAACATCATAGTAAATATAAACCTATGAAATAATGAGAAATTTAAGGGAATTGCTTTGTTTGCAAGCTTCGTTTGACCGATATTGTGCTTGAAATTCATTCCCGTGGCTTGCCTTAATTATAAAGTAGAAAGTTATAGAAGGGAGTACTACACTTCTGCCGGCCACAATGGATACGCTGTGAAGGCACACGTGTTCTGCAGGAGGGCAAGTTAAAACTGTGGTTTTGGGATCCTCTTTAAGCATCCCTGTCACTTCACCCAGCCAACATGGCCCCACATTTGCTCCTCTTATCCTCTTGAATGAATCATGGGAGTCTCACCCATGCAAAGGGATGTTTCCCAAAAATGCCACGTGCCCCTTACAGTGCACAAAGAACTCTGGAGAGAGGCAGCCAGTTTACTCCTACCTGGCACCATTTTGTTTCCCCATTCACTTGAAAGGAAGGAATGCATGTCCAAGGCATCCATCATCAAAATCAATGGGGAATCTCCTGCACACTAGGGCTGCCAAGTCCCCCCGGGGGCGGATTTCCCCCTGTTTTGGAGGCCTGATTTCCGCCGCCACGGAATCGGGCCCCGGGGGAAACCCCACCCCGGCGTGCGCGTCACCCGGAGGTGACGTGGTGACGCCGGGCACGCTGGGGGCGGGGCCACAGCCATCTGAGGGGGAAACTCTATGTTTAAATCCCCCCGAAACTAAGAGAGCGTCCCCTGCGCATGCGCAGGGGACGGGAGGCCAGGACAAGCCTTGGCTGGCTGGCTGGCAGGCTGGCGGGCTTTCCCCTTCAGATGGCTGTGGCCCCGCCCCCAGTATGCTCGGTGTCATCACGTCACCTCTGGGTGACGTGCATGCGGCGCGCGTGCGCACGCAATAGGCGCCGTCCGGGAGCCTCCCGCCGCGGGGCGAAAACAACTTGGCAACCCTACTGCACACAAAAACTCTGTGTGTACATCTGAGAACAACATTCCAATAAATAAATGTAACTAATTAATTAAACTCACATTAAAAAGGTTGGAGAGAGGAAGAAAGTCCCTTTACCCGTTGCGATGTTGGATCTTTCCTACCCCACCACCCCACTCTGCAATGGGGAACATCTGGGGGGGGGGTATAGCATCCACAGACAAAAGCTATTTTTTAAAAAGCATAATCCGTTGGTTGGGGAGGGACAGCAGCATGGCTTGGGCCGATCTTGTCAGATTTTGGAAGCTAAGCAGGGCTGGTATGTGGGGGGAGCCCCCCCCCCCCAAGGAAGATTCTGCAGAGGAAGGCAGTGGCCAACCACCTCTGCTTCTCACTTGTCTTGAAAGCCCCTTGCCGGAGTCCCCATAAGTCAGTTGCGACTTGACAGCACTTATGTACCTAATCAGTTGTGAGATGCAAAGAAACGACAAAAGAATGTTTGCTGCAGTGGGATTAATTGTGGGGGTTTTTGTTTGTTTGTTTACCCATTTAAAGAAGCGATTCTTTGCCATGAGAAGCAAAGTGGGACAATTGCTTTGTTTGTGTGCAGAGGGATTGTTGGTCTGTACTCACAGGGTGGGATACAACTATCTACTTGTGCAGGCTCTTTGCCCCATTGCCCAGGGTCTTGGGACCTACATGGGCCAGTTGACACATAGATAGGGTGACCAACTTGCCAGGTCCATGGGACCAGCGGGTGGGGGATGGGGGTGAACTTCCTGGGAGTGCTGAAGGAAGAAGCCGGAAATAAACATGACATGCCTACATCACCTGGAAGTGATGTCGGCATGTCAGGGACGTCAGGGGAGCTGCTCTGGTTTGTGGACAAAACCTCTAGGGTAGAATTAGCTTCTATTAGCCCCCAAACCAGAGCATCAACCCCCCCCCCCAATGACACTGATGTGCCTACATCACTTCCGGGTGATGTAGACATGTCATGTTTATTTTCAGCTTCTTGCCTGTTTGGGGGGGGTATTGGGGGAGAGGAGTACCAGAAACCAGGGGACCCCCACTGAGGGGTCTGGTATCCCTACACCTAGATCAGTGGATTGCAGTGAGGAAAGGGACAAAATTGCTCCCTTCTCCCTCTTCTGCCACCAGACTGCTGAAAAAGAGGCCAGATGACCAGTTTTACCTCTCCCCTCCCTGCTGTCCACTAGCCCACATGGATATTACTCCACATGGGCCCTGTGATCCCAGGAATCAATTTCCTCATGGTTGGGACTGGAGGGAGAAAGCAAGAAAGATCCACAACCATCAGTTCCTTCTGCTGATGGTCTGCTTGATCCACACCATAGTATCAGCACATCTACCACGACACTGTGATGCTATAGCATCATTATATGTATGTACTTATACAAATAGATGCAAAGCAACCCTAGAATATCAGACCAACTACCTTGTGCTTCATTGCAGCATACCTTTCCTGGATTTGATGGCTGGCATAAGCTCTTTCTTTCACAAGCCATTTATTCATTATTAGAGCACTTTGCAAAAAAAATGCTTTTTATTTACAGCCACGACAAACGCTAAGGGGGCAAATAAGTCATCAGCAACTTGAAAGGAGGGAAAATTAAAACATAAGTCATTTCCCCCTTCTAGCTTGCTCTTTGGGATATTATTGCAGGTGACTTATGGGTGTGGACTTTGGATGGAGGGCAGGAGGTGGAAGAAAGGAAAAGGGATAACACGCTTTTGATGTTGAGACACAATATGAAAAGTGTTATCATCTTGCCAGAAGGAAAATACAGCACCTTTCAGTATATGGTTGTTCCATTATGCTTTGATGACAGGAATTTTGGCTTGAGTCGCTATAAACATTACTCTCATCTTACCTTTCCCACACAGACAGTGGTTAAAAGCAAAACTTCCTTGTCAGCATTACACACATTAACATTTAGTTAAATACTATTAATTTAGTTATCTAGCGTTTGACACTGTGGGTTGTAGGCGTCCTGTGCATGCTCTCAATTACTTACCTATCCCTTCATCGGGAAGCAGTTTTTTGCCTGAGTTCAGCAGCACATGGTACATCATTTGGCCAGATAAATCAGAGGCATTGTTGGGGTTGGGAAGACAGTAAGAGACGCTGAAAGAATGGATGAATAAACTCCCTTAATAGCTTCATTTTAAATCCACGTTAATAAACAAATTATGTTAGTTGTAGTCTGTTACAACCAGAGATGTAAAGAATGACGTGATGATATATTTTTTGACACTGATAGATGTTAGGTTTTAAAATCTCCTCCCTTGGTTTACAAGCCATGTACACAAAAGCTGCAGACACATTTTGGCCCCCACACCTTGAAATGAGAGACACTTGATACCAAAGATTTGTTTGTTTGTCCTTTTCCTCAACGGGACCCAAGCCTAATATGGGTTTGACTATATATTTTAATGGGCATAACATTTAGAATTTATAGTGCTAGTTACCACTCCCTCCCTCCCTCCCTCCCTTCTGTTCCTCTAGTGGGGAACCAAACTGGCTTACAACATTGCTCTCTGCTCTCATTTATCATCACAACAGCCCTGTAGGGTAGGTCATGCCTAACCCAGTGAGCTTCCATGGCAGAGTTTGGTATAGTGGTTAAGTGCACGGACTCTAATCTGGGAGAACCGGCTTTGATTCCCCACTCCTCCACTTGCAGCTGCTGGATGACCTTGGGCAAGCCGTAGTTCTGACAAGAGCTGTCCTTGAAAGAGCAGTTTCTGTCAGAGCTCTCTCAGCCCCACCTACCTCACTGGGTATCTGTTGTGGGGAGGGGAAGGGGAAGGAGATTGCAAGCTGCTCTGAGTGAAGGGTGGGGTGTAAATCCAATCTCTTCCCTTCTTCTTCAGTGGGGATTCAAACCTGGGTCTCCAAGATCCTACCCCACCTGAACCACTGCACCATGGTAGCTCTCCAGCCTCATTCTAAAACAATACCCAGAGAAAGAGTCACTATAAGGGGGAAATGGAAATCTGCAGCAGGTATCAACACAGGTAAGCACAGGGACCTGTGCCTTGACATACACAGACCCTCTTAATCCACATACCCATTTTGAAATGCCACGGGACAGGAAGCTGTGCAGACCATATGAATTATGTAGTTGTTGTTAGTAGTATATTTGGCAAACAGCCTGAAGCACCTAAAGATGGAGTTTTTATAAACCAGCCACTCATTGGCCGGGTAGGTGGGGAGGGAGGACTCCCTTCAGTGCCGATCAGCATTGGCAATGTTTTAGTCACTTTACTGCTTGTGAGGGGAGGAGATAACGTTTGGCATCTCTCAGCACTGTACAAGCCAGAAGAAACAAAGCCAGAAGCAACACAGGCTGAATCTGGAGCCAGGTTGGTGTTGCCTTGAAACAATAGAAGACAGCCAATGGTGCAGTGATTAGAGTGCTGGAGTAGGATCTGAGAGTCCTGGGTTCAAATCTGCATTCTGCCATGGAAGCTCACTAGATGACCATGGGCCAGTCATTCTCTCTCAGCTCTCACATCACAGGGATGTTGTTGTGGAGATAAAATGGAAGAGGGAAAAACAATGTTTTAAGCCACTTAGGATTCCTTATTAAGGAAGAAAATAGGGCATAAAGCTCTAAACAAAGTTGAAATAAATGCCAGATGGGAAATATGGAATCTCTTTACTCTGAGGGCTTCAACTTAAGCTGAAGATCTTTAGGTTTTCAAATAAGAATATCTTCCATTTAGTCCCATCAGTTGTGATAACATGGAATTTTGATGGACTTTCTAGTTGATGAGGTAATATCAAAAAATGTTCATGAAATCATTCAGCTTCTGTGAGAGACATAAATCATTTGGCATAGGAAAAGCCTCACTCACAAGTCCTTGGGACATTTTGAATGGGCAAGAGACTTAACAATGGGGTTCACCAAAACAGAGTGGGGAAAAC